TGCTGCTATCAAATGGACAGTAGGGAAGCCAGAACAGATGCCAGAAGACCAATCAGTTGACAGGCATTCAAGTATAAGAAGATGGCTGTTTGGCCAGGCTGGAAGGGGCAGAAGTAGAGAGAAGCCGCATGTAGAATTCTAATCAACAGGATATGGTGATAGATTAAATATGGGGGATGGGGACAAGATATCAATTGGTTCATTGATTCATTCATTTATTTATTCAACAACCAAATGCCAGGAATCATTCTTGTGTAAAAGGCTGATATCAGAGTGGATGCTAAAGGCTCTGTTTTTTACTTTTTCACTTTCACATGTTTAGTAAAACTATGAATGAAAACACAGAAACCATGCTTCTGCTTTCAAATGTGCAGATGACCCAAAAATGAGCCAGATAGCTACTGGTCAGTTGGTCAGCTGAATTAATAATTATGAATCCTGAAAAGAGAGTCTGATGCTAACATGATGAAACTCATGATTCATAAAAGCATAAAGAATTTAAGTTTTAAAATAACAACTGTGAAGTGGAATAGCTTATCCATAGTCAATGTAAAAATCACATAAATGCTATTGTGGCATGACTAACTCAAAAGTAATTCTAATCTTAGTGAAGAATGTGGTTGCTATACTCTGTGATTATCAGACCACATTACTTGTGGTATCACGTTCAGTGAGGGTGGTTATACTTGAATGACAATGACAAATCAGAGTTGTTCAAGGGAAGGAGCAGCACAATTCACTAGAGAATAATGAAAGCGTGTCAAATGAGGAACAGTTAAAAGAACTGGGGGCAATAGACTTGAAGAGAAACTTACAAGCACATGACAGCTGTCTGCAAATACTTAAAGGCCCTCGGTGGGACACATACACTGTTGCTGGAGGGCAAGTAGTTTCAATAACTGGAAGTCACAGGGATCCAGATTTCAGTTTCAGATAATGGAGAACTTTGAATAGAGTGCTACGACCAAAGACTGGATGTTCTTGTGAGGTAATGAGCTCCTCATCACCAGCAAAAGTGGGGTAACAATGCTTTGGAGACATTTTAGGAGGGATTATGGAATTGGGTGGGTGGTTGAACTATATAACTTTTACGTTTCCTTTAAGGTTCTCTTTACATTCCAAGAAAGAAGGGAAAATAAAGGAGAAACCTGGACACACCACCTTTCTTTGCCCCCCCCCCCCAGATTCCATTTCTCTAAGGTGCATTTACAGGATCCACCTGTCTATGGAGGTTCTGCTGAGCTGACTACAAGTGGCCCAGGACTTCAGAAGAGATGAAGAATAGCAAGCAACCCTATAGCCCAGAGGGTGGGGTGAAGGTGTAAAAGTAGGTCAGACTTGGTCTCAGAACTGTACACTGGTGACAGAACATGGTGGTATTTGCAGGAGAGTCGATTTCTGTTAGAGCAGAGGAGGCTTTTACCCAGTATTAGTTCCAGCTGAGCCCATTCATTCTGATACTCTCACTCCTGAGAATTGCCTACAGAATGTTAGAGAATTGCTATTTTCTTTTCACATTAGCATTTGTTGATTTCCTAGAACTCAATGTAATGACCTTTTGCCTCTGTCCTTAAAACGCTTTGCAAGCTTCCAACAATTCTCATGACAGCCCTTCAAGCAGATTCCTGAAGAGGTACAACCCTGCATCCCAGGCATCCCGTTGATATGTCTCCAAAACTACTGCCTCCTGATAAATCACTTTTAAATGCTAGATTGAGTTCCACTGGATAAATATTTCGGCCATACTCTTGATACACACATGAATAAGAACAGAGGCATAACTCTGTTTAATATTTCCTATTGGTATAATAGTCTTTGACAACTTTCTAAGTCACAGCCAAATATAATACGTAGTCTATAAGGACACATGGAATTGGGGGTATCATCATGGCCTTTTGTAGGACACTAAGAAAAGCTGACTGGACTGGAAGAGAGGTTGCCTTTGGACAAATGATGGGACATTAGCTTCTGTCAGTAGGGTAGGATAGCTTAATGGGGCCTAGACAATGAGATAAGGAGTTTATATTTGATTTGATATAGAATTAGGAGTTTGGGACAGAAAAGTTATATAATGAAAGTTTAAAGAAAACAAGCCTATCAGAAGCCTGAGAAAAGAGGTGAGGACTGGTAACAGAGCTCTCAAGAATGCCAGTATTAAAGGCTCGGAGACTTGACATGAAGAGGCTGAACCAGCATGGCGACAGTAGGCATGACAAAAAAGATAGGAGCATAGGTGATGCCTTGACGAAAACATGAACACTTTCTGGTATCTGGTAGACACGTGAGATGATTGGCTATGAGTACATGTCACCACCCTAAGCTCTGCTTTCCTTGTGCTCCCCCACCAGCCACGTCTCCTTCGACGTCAGGCTGAATCATAGGTCTCACTTGGTTTCCAGTCGTTTCTTGGAGAAAATCCCCTAGAGCCCCCATCTTTGGAGAAGTTTTCTACTTAACACTGTCTTCCCTTCATTAGCTGTCTTTTCCCTCACCCATTTGGGAAGATAGTATTTCCACATGGATATGAGGGTATAGGTACAAAGAGGTATTGGGTACAAAGAAGACATGTCTATGCAGATCCCTAAGGAGCAGAGGATGCTTTTATTCACTCCCCAATATTGTAAGAACTAAAGGGTTAAAATTAAGAGTCCATTTTCCTCACTCGCTCAGAAGAAGGAGCACAGCATGGCAATAGCATTTAGCTTTTCTTATCTCCCAGCAGCAAGTCTGTATGCAAGACAGATGCCCAGCTCTCCTAGGCATATCTAGAATCAGACCTTTCTGTGTCAAGGAGCATGTCTTTTTCAAATTAGCAATGGCTTTGAATACCACTTCTTCCATTTTGCCAAAAAATGCCTATAGGTAAGCATCATACAAAGTTTTATAGGTACTCTGAGTCCATGCACATCTAGTCAAGGGCTCTATATGCCAAGAATAAAACCCACAGAACTCACTAAAAGGCAGCCATGCCGATTTTGGCCCCTGAAGGAAGCCCCTTCCTGTTCTCTCAGGACCAGAATCCTGGCCAAAGAGAGAAAGTCAATGTTTCAAAGGCACAATTTGAGAGGTGTCCCCCTCTCCCCGGTTCGAGTTACCAGCCCTACCCTGGTGATTGGAATTCCCAAATTACTCATTCCTTGGGTTAAGGCGTTTTTGAAAACCCCTGTTAAAATGCAAGTGCTAGCTGGAAGGGAGAAATGTGTTTTTGTTTTTAGCCATTAAAAGTTAAGTTCAAGTTACTTTATCTAAGTAGGGAATGGAACTCAGAAAGGAATCATACTCACAAAAAGAGAGAGAAGAAAAGGTAATAAGACCTTTCTCATCTTGATGGGAGATGAAAGTGCCAAAGACACTTTTCTTCCTAACACATTCAAAATATCATCTATTTCCCAAACCTCAGCCTGAGTGTATGCCAATGTACAGTTCAGAAATAAGTCTGTATATTAGAATAAAGAGGAGGATAAGGGTCCAATAAAGGTTGTGTGCCCAGCCTATGGACATTCTCCCTTCCTGCCTCCCAAAGACTTCTGTCTGCCTGACCTTAAAAGGCAAATTGTTAACACTTGCATGGACTCTGGCTAACCCCCACAACCCTTCCCACCCCTCCCCCCACCTCCTTGCTAGTTTCAGACACGATTGGTTCTAGTTCTGTCTCTTCACAGCCTCAATCTCCTGGCCCAGAGACCCCTAAACTCACTCCCACGTCTATCTGGTATTTGATTTTCTCCTAAGGAACCTGGCTTGGCTCACCTTTTCACCTTTCATGTTCTCTCCCTCTCCTTCCCACTCCCACTCCACCTCCACCAGAAAGGGACATCTGACCTCCAGGGATATCAGAGTAACCAAAATATCAAACTCAAAGACATAGTGATTAAACTATGAGCCACAGCCACAAAGACTTACTTCCTTCTCTTCGAAGTACAGTTGCTATGCTGTTATTTTTTTAGGCTAGAAGCTTCAAGGGTATAGGGACTATGTCTTTTATGCTCTGTTAACAGCTCAGCACCTGGGACACAGTAAGCATTCAATAAATATATTTACAGACACAAATGAACAGATTTTAAAAAGCTCTCATTATGTACAGGACAGCTCATGTAAACAGCACTAACGGTATCTGCAGAAGACATAATATAGAACTGTGAACTTGTGCACATAATTAAACAGACTCATTGTAGTGCAAAGCCTTAGTCCTAAGATTGAGGCTGCAGGTCAGAGAAGCAGGTCATCTCCTTCGTTATAAAAATTTGAGAGGAGTGGGAAGTTCCCTTGGCCCCAAATTACTTTCACCTGTCTCTCCAGAACCTTAAATAACTATTAATGGAGGCATTATTTTAAGCCTATTTGCAAATGCAAATATGTTCATGGTATACAGAACACAGTAAACCACTGCCTCGGCTCTTTTTTTTTTGCCCAGACTGTTTCCTATTTCTTTCCAAATGAGCTATTGAGGTCTCTGATACTAAGAGGGGCCAGTATTGGGATGGGGCACTTGGATGGGAAGAAGAAATGGAGAAAGGTTTCTGGCGGAGAAGGAAAGGGCCAAAGGAGAAAGCAGATGCCACCGCAGAGGCTGTGAGTTTTACCGCCTGCCACCTCCGCACCCCCCGCTAAACCACCACTGGCTTCCCACTGGTGCAAAGGGCTCAGGCCAGCATCCTTGGATAGTTTCTCCTGAAGCAGAGCTGCTTGGAGCCCCAGCACTCTAAGGCCAAGGGAGGGTATCAGTTGTTTAAGTGGCCCCTTCTATTTCCTGCCTGTCCTGTGGCTAAGTTTATCAAAGCAGACAAAGGAATCTGGCTGAACCACAGTTTTGTAATGCCCTACCTCGAACATAACCAGTCTGAGAATCAAGCCTCATGGTCTATGGTTTTAAGCATGTACTCCACACCCCTTCTTACCGCTCTCTTGCTAGCCATCAGCCCGACCACTGAACATCTGCCGCAGATGCACCTTTACCACACACTGCGCTCCCCAGGCACGCGAGCTTCATAAGAACATACCTGTCACAAATGCCCATCCACCGTAGCTCCCAGAGACCAGATGTATAAGCCCAGTGGCATTCCCAAGGAACACAGAAGCAAGGCATCAAGAAAAAATGAAGAGGAGCCGTAGTGAGCTACCCATTTTTCCCAACACTCCGTGTAGAGAGAAAAAATGTTAGCGCCGAGGCCAGAACTCAAATGCAAAAAGGGGAACTGACTAGAGAGAAATAACACCCAGAAAGGGCTGGGCTCTTGCTCCAGATAAGATTGGCAGGTGGGCATTTCCACTGATCATAATGACTACGAATGCACTCTCAGAGAGTGAGTGAGTGTAAAGCCCTGAGGAAAACCCCCAAAGACAGCCCCAGCCACAAACATGAGAAAAGCACATTCCCTAAAAGAGGGACAGATCCAGGCGTGCAGCCTTTATCAGTAGGGAAAGATTCAGCTCAGTTCAACAAATGTTTTACTGGGCAGCCATGTGTTAGGCAGTGTCTGGCGTGGAAGGACTTCAAGACCAGAGAGAGCAAGGAGACCAGATGTTTCACCTGCCACCTTCTTCCCAAATCACTCATTGAGTACCTACCTCTCCATGGATCCTGCTAGAAGCCAATGATATACACAGCCCCTACTTTCATTTTATCCCAATCTAATCCTAGATGTCCTAATCTAGAATGTTTCTATTACCTTGGTCCACCATTCCTAGAAATGAGTGGTACTCTTGAGACTGGGTAAACAAGTCAAAGTGGAAGTGTAAAATATATGTGAATGCCCAGTGGATTTTTCCAAGCCTGGTGCTTCAGCAGGGACAGGCTTTACAAATATAATCCTGCCCCCACATTCATGGCTTCTTTTTCTGACCTCATCAGGCCCTGCAAAGTTTCCTGCTCAAGGTGGGAGACATTTATATGCCTTTGAGTCTGCAGCATTTGAGCTCAGGAGAGAGGCAGCCCTCTCCAAGCACGTCTCCCCCACTCTCTTGGAGGCTAGCCATGTCCTGCATGGCTGGAGAAATTAAGTGACAAAGTGAAAGCTGTTGCTGTCTGGGGTTGAGGACGCTCACTCAAGCAAGGATGTGTGGTGCAGGGGGAGCTATTGCAGGCTTGGAACTGGCGGTCCACAGTCAAATCCTGGCTTGACCACTGCATTCTGGGCAAATGACTGAGCATCTCCCAGTCTCAGTCTTCTCATCTTTGAAATGGAACAGCTTCCTTGCTGCATTGTTGTGCAAAACAAAGGAGATTTGCATGTAAGTCATCTGGCACAGAGCATGCCATGCAGCTATTCAGTCTTCACGATTACTTTCCTCTCTTCTCTTTGGACTTTCCAATTCTAACTTTGAACTTTCCACAAAGATCTTCCCTCTATCACTGGAAAGGTGATGATCATTCTTCCCAAAACAGGTCTGTAAAACCCTTCCCCTTCCACACGGGGCCTCTCAAACCCAAAGGACTCCTGTGTGGGTCCTGGGCCCTGACTCACAGGTCATCACTTCCTCTCAGCCCGTCTATGTGCATACCTTGGAAACTTCATCCTTTATCGAATAGGCCCCACCTGGGGTTTTCCTCTGGATTTTACAATCATATCATTTTTTTTTATTTGCAAGGGTCCATTTGGTTTCTTTATTGTAACACGTGAAATAACCCACCCATCCGAGCACAGAATAATTAATTCATATCCTACTTAGTTTTTAAGTTTTCTTCTTTTCCTGGTACTCAGCAATCAAAACACAAGATAGGCTAAATTGGAAGGTCCTGCTATCAAAACTCTTGGGATGGTATTTCCCAAATTACACTCATTTTAGCTACTAGTACCACTTTATATCCACGTAAAATCGGTGTTATTTGTTATTCAATGTTTTTCTCTTAACTCTAAGTGAATTTATTTTAAACAGTATCTTCATGTTAACACTAACACTTTTTTCTCAAAGCAATACCATTTTTCATAAATAAAGGATGGGTGAAAATAACACGTCACATTGGGTTTTAGAATCACAGAGATCTGTGTTCAAACCCTAGCTCCACTAGTTAGTGCCTGTGTGTCCTTGGGGAAGTTACTTAATTTCTCTGAGCCTTCGTTTTCTCACAGAAGTAAGACTAAATACCTCATGAGTTTGTTGTGAGGATTAAAGAGGATCACATACATATGGTGTTTAGCACAGATTCTGGCATATAGTAAGTTATTTTTTTAAGTTGTTTAATTGTTTTCTCTTTTCCATCTACATATTTCAGTTTCTCCCTAGAGCAGCTCTCCCTCAATACTGTGAGTCAGGCAGCAGAAATAAAGAACGAGATGGTGTCATGGGATTCTCTTATTCAAAGACAGAGTTGCAAGGTTGTTTAAGGAATCTCAGAAATCATTCCAGTCTCTCACTCAAGCAAGGTCCCCCTGATGTCATCGCTGATAGATAGATAGGCTCTTTTTCCTCACTTATGTTGGAAAAACTCACTATCTGATAAGACAGTTATAAGAGAAAGGTCTTCTTTTCTAATAACCTCCAATCTCCCACCCCTCACTCCCCAGCCCCATAAGTACCATCAAGTTGTCCCTGTCATGTTTTCTGGAACTATAAGGACATATATATATATATATTAATTTCCCCCTTTATATAAAACACCCCAAATACTGGAAAGCAGATTTTATAAATTTCCTTAATAGTCTCTTCTCTCAACTAAATATAATCAGTGTCCTCAACTGTTTCTCATATGATGTGGTCTGTAGACCTAATTAACTTGACAGCTCTCCCTCTGGCACCCGGGGCCCCTGAATTTGTGAACATACCTCCTTGCAGAGGGGGCTCACTGGATGGAACGGACAATAACAAGATTACTTCCGTTCATGGGTCAGAGATCAAATTTACCTGTAAGCAGTTGCATTGGGAAAGTGGGTGGCCATGATTTTTTTTTTTTATATCAAGTCAGATCACCACCCCTTGGCCTCATTTTGTTTGTGTGTCAGTGTTTGGGGCCAATGAAAATAACCCTGAATCTGCCACATGTCATCCACTGTATTTGCCATCCCTCTTGAGTTTTGTGCCATTCCAAAACCTGAGAAGGAGGCCTTACCCAAAAGTTATAAGAGCCAAGCACAGAGAAGTTTCAACACTGGTGGTGGCCAAATGGTGGTCAGCAATATGAAATGCTGAGAGGAGGTATGGTAGCATGAAGATCAATTCCTGTGGGGAGCCGGCACGGCCATGGCATACTCAGCCCTAGGGCGCCTTATGTGCCATGCCAGCTCAGCCTGGTTCAGTGACCCTGAGTGGGGGTTGTGAAAGGCTTAAAAAAGACAGACATGAGAATGAAAAGCTGGGTGTCGGTGGGACACTGCTTCCCTGCTGAGGAGACAGCGCCAGCGCCCACAAGCGTGTCTTTAATTTTCAGCAGATGCCAGGAGGTAAAGTAGGGGCGTCATCAAGATGTTTACAACATTCTTGATGCACCTGAACTCTATCACACAGGCACATGGGGCCACATGTTCGGACCACAGGTTCAAGCTTACAGCTATAGCTATTGGCTATAATTGTGCTGGGAAGGCTCTGCCCTCCAGCTGGGACTTGCACGTGGCAACGAGAGGACTGTGCCCTCTCCTCAGTCCAAGGCTTGAACCTGTCCAAAACACTGTAACCATGCCCCATACATTCCTTGTGTTTAGAGGGAAGGAAGTTGCTGGTAACCTCAGAAAGCTACTTTCTTTGTGGGGCTGCTTCCTCCAGCGCCTCACTCCCAGATGCTCTCAGGTCTGAGGAAGCCAAGGCTAAGCAGCAGGAAGGGAGTGGCTACAGATGGTCGCGGGGTGGGAGAAACAGACACCTTCCTGGTAGTCCCAGCTCAACACTGCCCAAGAGAGAGGTCCCTGGGACCACCTAGTTAGGATCCACTCTGTGAGGCAAAGCTGGAAATCTGCAGGCATTTGGCAACATCTAAACACTTAGCTGAAAGTTTCAATTCCAGCCATGTATTTGTGGCCCTCTGTAGGTGGCTTCCTGTGGCCGGTGGTCAGGAGGCCGTCTAAAACTATGCCAGGTGGTGGGGTGCCAATATACGGTAAAATAATCTCCACAAATAACTGCAGCAACATTATTGATTGAAATGTTCATTAGTGTTTGTTTTCTGAGTTTTCTTGACACAGGGATTTTGGCATGGGTGAAAGTAGGAGAAACCTATACTAGTACTAGCAGTCAAAGGTGCTTCTGAACCCTTGAGAAAGCCCATGGAAGACACAATACAGGTGCCCTAGAAGGTGAGAGAAAGAGACAGAGTGCTTTTGAGATGCAAGAGGAAGGGAGGGAAGGGCACAGGTGTAAGGATACTGCAAGCATCCTGTCTCAGTGCTCCCAAGGGGATAACTACCTCAGGGGTGATGGCTCATTCCTACAGAGGAGGTGCCCTTGGCTCAGGGAGCCCAGACTAGCAGATAATGTCGTCCCCCACTGTGGCATGGAGGCAGAGAGCTGCCAGGCTTCACAGACCACTATGGGCTAGAGAGTGAAGTTGCCAATGACAACCAAGACAGACCGGGGACTTGAGGTCCTTTGGCCACTTTCTAGGCACCGGGTAAGCTTCCTGAATTTTGACTAGGCTGCAGGAGGGGTAGGGGACCCCTGTATGATCAAGATAGAGTCTCCTGTCCAACTGGTAGAAATGGGGGCTCAGAGGTGGTATTAGGTTGAATAAAAGGAGACAAAAAAGTGATAATCTCTTGCATACTTGGATTCATGAACAGCAATTCATACCCGATGCATAGTAGCGTCCATGCAAGGGGGGCCCAGGATTGGACCGTAAACACAGTTCCCAAATTGTTCTTGATTTAGAAGTGGTGCAGCTCCGGGTGGGGTCCTGTTCTCATTCCCAGCCCTGCTGCACAACCTCTAGTGATGCAGGGTCATCAGCCACAGCCTCCAGGACCTGACTCTCCCCTTCCAATGTAACTCTGCTGGGCTCACAGGCCGGGTTTCCTGACACAGCCTGAGGGAGAACAGAAAGCATTTGCTATGAAATCTTCCTTTTGCTGCTATTGGAACATTGTGTTTTTTAGAACCCTTTCTCCTTAAAGCATAAATATACTAACTGTTAGGAAAATGAAAAGACAAATCACAGACTGGGAGAAAATATTT